CGTCCAACCCTGAAAACACTGTGTTTGATGTGAAGAGATTTATTGGACGTACTTGGGATGACCCGTCAGTTCGGCGTGATTTCAAATATTTCCCGTTCAAGGTACGAGTATATACCAAAAAAACTTCCGTATCAAAAACAAAGCTAATTGTAATTGAAGAAACGAAACGAAACGGGGTGACACACAAAAAAAAAAAAAAAAAAAAAAAAAAAAACTGTAATCAAATAAAAAAAATGGGTTTAATAGGTAAAATATTCACAAAATATTTTTACCGAAAATAACAATATTGTAATTAGTAAATGGCTCGTTTCGCTAATTACAGATAGTCAAAATCTGTAATCAGCGAAACAAGGGTCTTACACGTACAATATTCACAATTGTTTGTCAAAACTTGACCAGTATATCCACCTTTCAGTCGTGTATATCACTACACGGAATATTTGCCGAAAATAACGAGATTTTAATTAGTGAATGGCTACAGAGTATTTGTGTTATGTGTGTCATCCCGTTTCGTTTCGTTTCTTCGAATACAATAAGCTCAAAACAACTTAGTGTATAACGCGTTACTTCAATTTGTCCAATGAAAACGACGGGCATTATTGCATTATTATCCCCATAGTTGTTTATAGTTATGGAATTTGTTTTGTTGAAACTGAAGTAATAGAATTGCCAACTATCTGCGCAACATAAAATACTTCAAGCAAGTTTATAAGTGACGGACCACAACTCATTGGCTGTTCAACGTGTTTTTGATTGGTTGGCTGTATGGCTTTATGCGATCTGGATTTATTAATTATGCTAAATACTGGAACAACTTATATGTCATGCGTTTACATTGTGTTGTCTTCACGTCTGCAATAGGTATTAAACGTAAACGACAAACCTCAAATCGCGGTGTCAACTGGCAACATGTCAAAAATATTTAAAGCAGAAGAAATCAGCGCTATGGTTCTTGGCAAAATGAAAGAGATAGCGGAGGGATATCTGAGTGAAACCGTCTATAGTGCTGTGGTATCTGTGCCTGCTTACTTTAACAATGCTCAGCGACAAGCTACAAAGGATGCTGGAACTATCGCTGGTCTCAACGTAATGAGATTCATCGACGGAGCGTGAGTAATGTGTACGCACACCAACACTTGGAAGTAAGAGAAGCAGATTCCAGTAATGCAACACTATAAAAACTATCACTATTTCTTTATTTAATCTCAGAACTGCGGCTGCCATTGCATATGGAATGGATAAAATGGAAGATGAAAAAAATATTATGGTGTTTGATTTGGGAGGAGCATATGTCGATGTATCACTTTTGACAATAGATAATGATACGTTTGACGTCTTGGCAACAAACGGCGACACCAACCTAGGTTAGTATTGAGAGTCTGTTTGCGTTTTTGTGTACTTAAGAATGTTGGAACCTGGAATAAAATATTTATTTCGTTATAACACAGGTGGTGAAGATTTTGATCATCGTGTGATGAAACACTTTGTTAAACTGTACAAGGAAAAGACACGAAATGACGTCAGTAAAGACACTCGAGCTATGCAGAAACTCCGCCGTGAAGTTGAAAGGGCCAAGCGTGCGTTGAGCTCTAATCATCAAACCCGTCTATATATTGAGTCATTTTATAAAGGCAATGTTTTTTCTGAAACCCTGACAAGAGCCAAGTTTGAAGAGCTGAATTTAGTAAGCGTTTTAACATTCACTAGTTCATGTTTTCACGTTCTTAACCAATGTATCGATTGACCGTGGCAACTGGAAAAAGTGGATTATTCATCTCACTCACTGTCGTCAACCAGTATCTAGTTTATCGTCTGCTTCAAGGGTTAATGCGTCAATATGGTGCAGACATGCCGTAATGTCACCGATCATAACACGGGAGATATGAGCATGTTCATTCCAACAAAATACTGATCATGAATAACCTTAATCTGACCTTGCATCTTATTCAGGATTTGTTCAGATCTACATTGAAACCTGTTCAATCAGTCATAGACGACTCGGGCTTACAGAAACAAGATATCGATGAAATCGTTCTCATTGGTGGATCCACTCGTATCCCCAAAATACAACAGTTGGTGACAGAATTTTTTGGCGGAAAAGAGCCATCTCGTGGTATAAATCCTGACGAAGCTGTTGCCTATGGGGCTGCGGTACTGGGTGGCATACTAGGTGGGGACACGTTCTTAAGTAAGTATATAATAGTAGATGCAAGTTTTTCTTCTTCTTATTATTATTATTTGCAGATTGTTTTTTTTTTTGGACAGCGAATAAAATATTGTTTGCGTTATTACAAAGGAGAAGTTGATGACGTGAGGTGACGTCATCGTGAATATATAATTAATTGTATAGTTTTGATTTACGGAACGATCACGTTGTACTGAAGTTTGTAGTTATTGTAGAATCGACTGATTTTATATTCATTGTCATAGTTTTTCTTTTTTTATTTCAGGGGACTTTTTACTTGTTGATGTCGCTTCCTTGAAGAAAACACCTGTAGATTGGTCGCTGTCTATGTGCAATCTGATATTATTTTCTCTGATAATAATATTATTATTCCGAATACTCTGTTTCAGATAATCTTCTCCTTCTTTACTTTGACCAACCACAAAGCACAATCCAAATAACGAAAATAAAACAGTATGTACTAATAAATAATTAAACAAGAGAATTATCTCATAGCGTATACTGACTTTAATGATTGTTATTGTTATTGATTGAATTTATTCACTTAATTTATAGGCAATATTGATAAAAGAATACAATACAAACAACACTTAAATACATAGTGAATAGGAGGCTGAAAAATGGTGTAAAACACTAGTCGAGTCCACCCCTTTTCTAGGTAAAAAAAAACTACAATAATAAGTGGATTCTAAAACAATTACATACAACTCAATTATGCATACTTTAAAAATCTTTTCCTTTCTTTTTTGATTGAATTTCTTAAGCTCATGGAACGAATTTCGTCTGGAAGTTTATTCCAAAGTTTAGCCCTGGCATATTTGATTGAATGTTGTCGCGAATTAGTATGGTATTTTGGAATAATAAGATTACTTTTTGATTTTGTGTGATAAGAGTGTTGGGTGGAAGTGAACAAACAAAGACATTTGCAAATCATGTTTTTTATAGATATCTAGTACATGGAGCTGAAAAAGTGAAGAAGTGTGTGAGAGGCGATCGGATCCTGTTATTATGCGTACATGTTGTTTCTGTGTGAGATGTATGGGTTTCAGGAAAGTTGAGTACGTGTTCCCCCAAACTTATAGTACCTAGGTAATATGTGGTAGGATGAAAC